TTGAGCCTGGCCCGTACTATTCCCACTTGAGATTTGGTGGGCATGAGAAAAGACAATTCATGCTGCTCCCAGTTGTCTGGAAAGGTTCCACATAATCAGGGACCACGAGGCTGAAATCACTGGGACCTCACCTCTGTCCCTCACTCCTTATTTCTGGTAGGGCACCAGCAGAGAAACTGGAGGAAGAAGGAAAAAGCAAGGAGCCTGAAAACTTACCTACCCTGTGGGAAACTAATTTGGACAACAGCACATCAGATTAAGACATTCATTCCCTCCCTTGCTTTCTCACTGGTTCCTAACTGGGTTTCATGTCTACAAAAACGTTTATTACCCTTTCCTAAATGTCAGTACTGTTGGTGTGTTGTCAAGATAAACGGTCAAGTGCACTGTTACCCACACAAGCGTGGAAGTAGGATCGTACCATGAGGCCTAGGGTTTCAAGTCTTACATACTGGGGAAAGGAGTCAAGTTTAAACACAAAAATCACCTCCAGCAGTATCAGCAGAAATCTGAAATGCGTGCACTCCCTATTAAATTTCACAAGCCTGTTACAGCAGTTTCTGGTAGAAATTCCTCTTGCCTGTTAAAAGAACATCTGCTAACATGTTGGATTAAATTTTAAAATGAAATTCAACGTGCTGTCCCACGGCAATGTGTTTTTCGTTAGGGCTGTTTATCTGCAGGTCCAGAGGTGATGTTCTTTGTGCTCCCACAGGGGACACATGAATGATCAGGCTCTAGAGACTGGCCTTGGAGACCTGCTCTGAGGTAGGTATGAAGTGGCTGAAACTGCTCGAGCTAACGTCAGTGTGGCAGTTGAGGCCAGAGCCCTCCTGACCCGACTGGAACCTTCACCAGGTTGCCTTCTAACCAATACATTTACATCTAAGAATCTAGTAGGAAAGGGATTATAAGTGGATGTAATGATTAACTCGGGAATGACTACAAATGCAAACTGTGTCCGATGGACCGGCTTGGCCCTAGGGGCACGAAGTGAGCCCTGACCCGGCACCGGGAAGAGGAGGCTCATAAAGCATGCGATGACTTTTTCTGTCCAAAGTCTCTCTGCTGCACCTTCACCTGTGCTTGAATCATAGGTCTTGTGCCCTGAAGGCTCTGAGTGACAAGAACCCACTTAGCCTGCCGCCCAAAAGCCACATGCTGCCAAAACCAACACATGCTGAAATTAAACACCATCTGGGGGAAAATGTATAGGCGTTGTAAGGAAGCAGAATATATTATCTGTAACTCACTGTACTCCACAAGAATTAACGTGGCCAGGTGCTTGACTGCTGAGACCTGCTCTAAGCAGTAACTCTTGGTGTGTTCATCACAATTTTCATACTTTACACTTGGTCTCCCCTCCTCAGACTGAATCTCTTCCTCTGCAAACCTTCTTCATAGACCTGCTCACTTTCTCGCTGTTACTGCACATATATCTTCACAGCGTTGCATCCTCATCTAAAAATCCTCGGACAGTGAGGTTAGGGATTCTGTCCCCTTATCATGGCAGATCAAGTTCAAGTCTATTCAATGACAGTATCACCTAATTCCTAAATCCATCCCAGGTCCACTCTCTCTTTCCAGTTCCTATATCTTCATTAAAGGACCTTCTAAGGTTAACTTGGGAGCTCTGGTAGCATAGTGGCTAAGGCACTTGACTGCTAACCAGAAGGCTGGCGGTTCAAATCCACCAGCCACTCCTCTGAAGGAAGGTTGGGCAATCCTACTTCCGTAGTGATACTGCCTTGGAAACCCAAGGAGGGGTCGCTATGTGTCGGGGCCGACTCGACAGCACATAACAACAACAACAAGGTTAACTTATCCCCAACATCCCACCACTTTCTAACATACCATTTTCATCACTTCCCCTCACTAAGGACCCATTGCACTTATGTACTTTCAATAAATGTTGCTGATGTTTAAGTCCTTAGTTCCCTGTATCTTCCATCTTTTTTCATACCTAGCTGTGTTACCTACTTAGATCCTGAGATCTCAGAAGGCAGGTTCTGGATCTGCTGACTTGTTTGGTACCAGAAATAGCAAAAGGAGCAGAAGATGTTTAGTAAGTAATGTTTGTAAAATGATGGAGAAAGAAGCGACTTCAAAGCAAAATGGGTGACGATGAGGAGTCACACTGGGGTTTTGGTCCTGCTATGGTGACCTATACATGAACTCCTTCACTGGTAGATCACAGCTCATTAAATCATCCATCCCAGGGCATCAAGACAAACAAAACTTTACATTTTCACAGGGCTCTACACTGCTCCAGGGCCTTTTGCTCACATGCTCACATGTGATTCTCACACCTTTCAATAAATGTGGTCCTGCGAGGTGGGCAGGCAGGTACGTTTTCACTGGGCTAATGGGGAGAGAGACCCTCCCCAGTAAGAGAACAAACTTAATACACCAAACTAGGAGCACAGCGGGCTCTGAGAAAAGCATTTATCCCAACAATCTCCTCTAAAATCCCAACTCAAATGTGTGGTTCACGTACCCATGAGAACTTTTAAAACAGGAGAAAAGAATAAACATAAACCCTTAACTCTTAAGAGTGCTCACACAAATGGAACTCCAGAGCCACACAAGATCACAGGAGGACCTCTCTTCTCAGTATCCCTCTTGTCTCTGAAGCCCCATTTTGGTGTGGTACTAGCCACTATGCTAGTTCGTGCTAGTTAGGGATTTGTAAAACTGCTGCAAGTGTTTAGAGGAAGCAACAAAAGCTGTGTTCTAGGACCAACACAACAGTGGTGTTGATGATCTGGTGGGCCTGCTCACACAAAGCCACCCTCCCCCAGTGGTTCATCAATGGCTTCTTTGGTCTTGACAACCTCTTTTAAAGTGTGTCTCTTAAGACACGCTAAGATTACAAATACGGATAGAAACGCCTTATGCTAGTTTGAAGGGCATCAACACCGCTGTTGCATTCAACCCTCTTCAAAGCAGGCCTTTTCAGCAGCGTACTGGAGGTAACCATTTCAGTACACTCTACAAGCAAACAGGAAGCTGAGCAAAGTGGGAAGGGGAAGGGGCTGCCTTTGTTACTCGCTGTGACAGGATTCGAATTCACTGCAAGATGTTCATGAGAAAATGCTGCTCGGATATCTGAAGTTCTTAATAGCACACACAGGAAACCTGGTATTTTCTGAGCAACACACAAAAAGAACCTTCCATTCTGGAGAAGGTCTGGTATTAAACCAAGGCCAAGAGAGGTAAGAAATCAAGCCCAGATGGGTCTTTTCCCCCCTCTGGGGCCACCGTGGAGGGCCTGAAAGGAATTTCCATTCCTTTTTCTACCATTCTTGACGGTAAGCTCTCCAGAATACCTTGTCTTTCAGGGGGGCATGGGTGAACAATGGTTATATTTTAACTTCCCAGAGCCACCTTTCCCTGGCGTGGAGGACTTGTAACTGCAAAAGAGATTTAATTAAGAAAGTGCTGAAACATGACTCTGGAACCCAGTGATAACAAAACAATTTCAGCTCTGCTAGGGTTCTCACTTCTCTCTACTTGACCCAGACACACAAGTTTTGATTCCCTGGAACCCTACCTCCTGCTGGTTTGTCTTTTGTTTAATGAAGTGTTGGCTGATCTACAGATCTGGGACCTGGCTGTAGAAATCTGTTCCCCAAGATGGTTCCTCTTCTGTGTTCCACTCAGGTGCTATAAACCAGCATGGCCTGCCATCACTGGGTCCCTTACTGAGACGTGACTTGGGAAGTGGGGACACAGGCTTACTTCACGTGTAACATGCCAGTGAATTGGCACCCATCTCAGGTCCAAAGTACATGAGATCATTCTAACGCCCCTCACACAGCAGTGAGCAGTAAAAGCCAAGTTCAGAAACCTCTCTTCTCCTGCTGCCAGTGGTCTCCAACTTCCTCCTCCCACTTCTTGATTCCCTACAGAAAGGCTACCAGGTCTTAACACAGGGGCTGTGACAACCAGTGAGGTCCTCAGGAATGACAGCCTGGTGGTCCTAAGAACGCTGTAAGGAGTTTTGCTCACCCTAGACTCCTTACTCAAACACCCTCTGCGAGGAAACTCCTCAGCAACGTGCCAACATCACTTAGGCCTCCTCAAGAAGCTCTCTGACTGGCCTCCATCGTGATATGCACTGAAATGGGGTGCTGTCTGTCCATGCCCAGGTAACAAACAGAAAATACAGTTAAGAGTGGAAATCTAAACTTCGGTATGTATTTTGAATAACCAAATAAATATTAAGCATCCCCCCCACCCGAAATCTGGGTTTGTTTCTTTTCCCAGAATAGAATGAAACCTTCAACACAGTCTTCCGCCAAAGAAGCCGACGCCTCATCTTGCAGACTTGAGGGTGAAGGGGCCCTGGGAGTGGTAGCACCAGAAGAGAGAGAAGGAAAGACAGAGTGATGGCTTCGTGTAGGATCTCAGCCCGTACAACCAACTGTTTTGGTTTCTCACTAGTAGCTTATTAAAAACTTCCAACAGTCTGTTATTACTCTGTTGTTATTATTTCTACGAAAATCAGTTCTTATGGACAGACAAGAGGGAAATCAAGCTGTTCACAAAGTGTCTTCAAATCTCTTCTCTCAGAAAACAAAGCAGCAGCTTCATCAAGAAACAACAGTCTGAAACACGTCCTCCCCTCCCAGAAACGCCCGACTCTTTCCACCCCGACACTGTCGACACACGCTAAGCTTCTGTCTTTGACAAGGAGACTCATTCCGTCATGTTGCTCGCCTAGGGCAGTGTCTTTTCTTCCACAGGGTGCTGCTGGCTTTTGGCCAAACGTACAGTTCATTTCAACAGTCCTAATGTGGTCCTCATGTTGTCAACCTCGTGATTAACGTATCATGGGCTGACACACAACTGGTGGCATCTTCTGAAACACCCACTTGCCCGCTCGCGTTGACACCCGGCACGGGAGGTGTCCGTTCCCCTTACGAACGACCCCTCATAGGACTCCTCTGGGTCTTGCTTCCACGGGAAGCAGATAGTGGCAGGTGGATGGGGGCCGGTCAGCTGTGGAAGTTCTGCACAGCGGTCTGTTTCTGGGAGAGCCGCAGGAGCTCCTCGCGGATGGCTTTGATGAGAGACGTGGATGAGTGGCCGGGCTGCAGATCCTCACTGGAGCTGGCGGCATAAGGCAGCCCGGGGCCCTGCAGAGCCCTGTGAGGGAGGTTCCTGGGTGGGGCGGGAGGCTCTCTGCCTGAAGTCCTTGGCACCTGAAACAGCGGTGGAGAATATTCTTGATGGCCAATCATATGGGTCTGAAAAACACGGTGACAGTCACTCACTTCTTACTTCGGCAAAGGTGGCAAAATAAAGTCAAGTGGCACTGGGTAAGCTTCCGACACCCCACTCGGCCCCCACCACCTCCCACCCAGCAACTCCAGCCTCACAGGGCCCCTGAGATAAACAGGTTTATGGCTGAGGGCTGTGCGAGGGAAAGGAGGATGGCAAGGAAACCCTTGAAGTTAACCGTCAGGGGCCCTAGTGGCACAGTGACAAGTCCATGACTGCAAACTAAAAGGTCGGCGGCAGTCTGCACATACCAGCTGCTCCATGGGAGAAAGATGTGGCAGCCTGCTTCCATGAAGATGACAGCATTAGAAACCCTGTGGGGCAGTTCTACTCTGTCCTACAGGGTCACTATGAGTTGGAATTGACTTGGCATGGTTTGGTTGGTTTTTTGGAGTTAACAAGTTATTACTATGGCCATCCCCTGTGTGCAGAGCAGAACTCTTGATACGGTTTTTAAGGCAGAGACCTTGTGGCAGCACATCGTCAGGCCTGTCTTCTGAGACAACTCTGGAAGGGTCTGAACTGCCAATCTTTCAGCCAGGAGTCAAGGGCCTAACTGTGTGCACTACCTGGAAATTCCTGATTTAAAACGTGCATGAGCATCATTTGCTTAAAGACAGACAGATGAATTAATGCACAGCAGAGTGAATGTATCAGCTCTGGGTCCAGCTGACACATCCCTGAGCACTGTGTGTAGGAGTAGGTAGAGACCAAGGAGAGGGGCCGGAGACAAGGGGGAGTGGACAGAAACAAGTAGAGTGGGTGGAGACAAGGAGAGTGGGCAGAGACTAGGAGTGGGCGGAGAGAAGGGAGAGTGGGCGTAGACAAGGAGAGTGGGTGGAGACAAGGGGAGTAGACAGAAACAAGTGAGTGGGTGGAGACAAGGAGAGTGGGTGGAGACAAGGGAGAGTGGGCGGAGACATGGGAGAGTGGGCATAAAGGAGAGTAGGTGGAGACAAAAGGAGAGTGAGTAGAGACCAGGGAGAGTGGCGGAGACAAGGAGAGTGGGTGGAGACTAGGGAGAGTGGGCGGAGACAAGGGAGAGTAGGCGGAGACAAAGGAGAGTGGGCAGAGACATGGGAGAATGGGCGGAGACAATGGAGAGTGGGCGGAGACAAGGAGAGTGGGCAGAGACAAGGAAAAGTACGTGGAGACAAAGGAGAGTGGGCAGAGACATGGGAGAGTGGGCGGGGACAAGGAGAGTGGGCGGAGACAAGGGAGAGTGGGCGGAGATAAGGGAGAGTGGGCAGAGACAAGGGAGAGGGTCTGGGGTTCCTGACCCAGCAGGAGGGCAGGAAAGGACTCAAGGAGCTGGGAAGGAAGGGAGGTTGAGGCACCCCCATGGAGTGAAAGGTCAGAGGGGAAACCTGAGAGCTGAAAGAGGTAAGCAGATACTGACTCATTCACTCCAGAATGCAATGCCTCTCCCAGAGTGGGAGGGAACTGCCATTTAAAAGCTGCAAGAAAAACCACAATCAAGGGGAGAAAAGAAAAGGTGAGGGACGAGACCTTATGAGGTTTCAAAACGGGCACTCCAAAGCAGAAGGAGCGAAATGAAGGCACCAGGCCTGATACTCACAGCCTCTCTCCGCCCGGCTTCGTCCTCCCCGTATGCCGTCCATCCTGGCCCCCCATACTGGCTGCCCCGGCCTGGTGGAGCCTCCCCAGGCTGAGCACCAACCCTGCTTGAGATGCCCACCTGCGTGAGGTGTTGGATCTGGGAGCCTGCAGGGAAACAGAGTGGAGGGCAGCCTGGTCAGTTACACAGGACAGTGAGACTGCTGACGGCCTCCTCAGTCTGACGACTGCATGCACTTCCTTAAGGACCAGGGTTCAAACATGGCACCAGTTCCAACCAACCAGCCAACACACTGTTGGCGAGTTGATCTGATTCATGCCGTCCCCACGTGTGCAGGGTACAACTGCTCCATAGGGCTTTCCGGGCTGTGACTTTCTGGAAGCAGACTGACAGTCTTCCAAGGAGCCTCTGGTTTCGAATCGCTAGCCTTCTGGTTAGCAGTCAAGCCTCAGAGAATGCCATTTCATCAAGAAGAGCAGACTGTGTGTCTCCTTGTCCGTGGGCCTTTACTTCCCTTTAACACAGAGCCCGACGGTGACCTCTTATTCTCCTGAACAGACAGCAGAGGGCGGGGAGAAAAGGGACCTTGGGATGCACTTCCTTTGCATCTGCAGAGGTCACATGTAAGGATGACGTCAACCACTCAGAAGAAAGGAAGAAGGGGTCTGGAGCCACAAGGGAGCGGACCCCTGGCTCCCCGTTGATTATGCCTCTGAGACTCACAAAGCAGCTGACAACACAACCTATCTTTTCTTCCCTAAAAGGCAGTGGATTTACTTGAATTCAGAAGACTGAGCTATACTGTCATCATACCCACACTGTTTCCATAACCAGGCTGTCACTTTTAAATCCACTTACCAACATCATCGCCGCAGCCTATCGAAGCGTGGGTCTGGCGTGGGTTCTCCTATGCTGACATGCTGTCCCTGCACACGGTTATGGAAGCTGGCCTTTAAACAGCATGGCTTCCCCCTCACCAATGTCTAGTATATGGGACTATCCCTACACTGCAAATGACAGATGAAAACAGTAGTATCTAAATAGCACTGTGAAATAAAATGCCAATGTCAAGAACACACCAGGGCTCTGGAAAAGCTAATAAACCAAAAAAACACCAAACCCTCTGCCATCAAGTGCATTCCAACTCACAGTGACCCTGTGTAGAACTGCCCCCATAGGGTTTCCAAGGCCGTCATCTTTACAAGACCAGACTGCCTCATCTTTCTCTGGAACCTTTTGGTTAGCAGCCAAATGTCTTCACCACTGCGCCACCAGATCCTTGGAAATGCTAACAGGGTCATCAAATTCACTGCTGATGCTTAGCAGGTGCTACCAACAGTCAGACGGTCACAGAGGTGTGGGGGCAGTCCCCCACATCTTCAGTCCACTTCTAGTTGTCTAATTAGCAACCTCAATTAGTCAAATACATTAAGGGGGAGAACTCACTAGTACTAGTTTCCTAGGGCTGCCAAACACAGAACCACAAAGCAGGTGGCCTAAAAAAATAAGCATATTCTCTCACAGTTCTGGAGGCGAGAAAACTGAATTCAGGGTGTTGGCAAGATGACAGTAAGGAGCCCTGGTGGTGCAGTGGTTAAAGCACTTGGCTGCTAACCAAAAGGTCAGGGGCTCAAACCCACCAGCCACTCCACAAGAGAAAGATGAGGCAGTCTGTAAAGATGACAGCCTTGGAGACCCTGTGGGCAGTTCCACTCTGTCCTCTAGGGGCGCTGTGGGTCAGAATGGACTACACGGCAGTGGGTGTGGTTTGGGCTTTGCTTCTGTAAAGATGACAGCCTTGGAGACCCTATGGGGCAGTTCCACGCTGTCCTCCAGGCTCTCTATGAGTCGGAATCGACTCGATGGCAGTGTGTTTTGGGCAAGATTCCGCTCTCTCTGAAGGCTCTAGAAGACAGATCCTGGTTTCTCCCAGGTCCTGGAGGGCATTCCGTGATTTGTGGGAGGGATCCTCCAACCTCTGCCTCTGCCTTCCCCTGGCCACCTTTCCCTCTGTGGGTGTTTGTGTCCTCTTACAAGGACGCATATACGACCAGGGCCCACCCTACTCCAGTATGACCTCATATCAACTCATGACATCCGCAAAAACCCTCGAAACAAGGTCACATACACAGGTATGGGATTAGGACTTTAACATGTCATTATCAGGGGACACAATTCACCCCACAGTAAATGCATCAAATTCACTGCCATTGACTTGATTCCAATTCATAGTGACCCCCATTGGGTTTCCAAGGCTGTCAATCTTTATAGAAGTGGATCACCCCATCTTCCTTCCACAGAGCGGCTGGTGAGTCTGAACCGCTAACCTGGTTAGCAGCCAAATGCTTTATCTTAGCAGATAAGAGCTAAGTACTAGTTTCCTAGGGCTGCCAAACACAGGACCACAAAGCAGGTGGCCTAAAAAAAGAAGCGTATTCTCTCACTAGCAGCCACCAGGTACACACTGATGACTGAAGGTCAGCAAACACTGTCCAGGGTCCTCTCAGAGCACTGCACTTGCTGGAACTCTTCTGAGTCATGGAAACACTGATGTAAAACAGTTAGGGCTCACGGGCCCTACTGGCCCACCTGTCATGGTTTGAGCAAATCTTTGCCAACTCCCAACGCAGCGCAATACCGTCACTGACAAAAGCATCACGGGACTCCCATCATTTACAAGACTCGGGCAGCTACAGAGAGAGAAAGGCAGCCTGTTCTGTTCAACCTGCCACAGCGGCAGATCCATAGCCTACTGTGTGCTACTGTGCTCACCTCTCAGCAAGGGACAGACACCTCCATGACTCAGTAAGCCCAAGCTGCACCCAAGCTCAGCACCAAAAACTGTGAGACGCGGGCACCCTGTTCCCACTCCACCAAGCCCCAGTCCTTCACTTCTTCAAAGAGGACAGAAAAATCGACCACATAGGGTTATTTCAAGGATTAAGAGAGAGAAAATAGGTCAACCACCAAGCCTACAGGAGCTAGGGGTAAATCTTAAATTCCCTCCCTCGGGCTGTCCATGAGCTCTTCCTTCTAAACAGCTATGGAGTCCACTCCCCTACAGCCTTGTTACTCAGGGACAAACACTGCTTGTCGCTTATGAATAAAGCTGCAATACACAGGTTCACCACGTAGCTGTCTCCCAATATTCTGGATTTCTTTGGGGGTGAGGGAGGGACTAGGTCTCCAGGGGTGTCACTACCAAACCAAAGGACCCTAAGTCATGTCGCTCCCTGGCTTTTCCAAAGTGCAGTCCCATCATCCCAGGAATAAGCACAAAAGTAGCAGTAACAGTGGGGCTGATATGTGCTGGGATTTCTGCTCAATTCCCAAGTGAAGACCTGCACAGGTCACTTGTGAGTGACATCACGAGTGTTCTTTTAATGAGGGCTGAGAGAGGGGAGGAAAGGACCCAGAAGTCTTCCACAGCGATCCCCGCTTCTCCCAGGCCTCAGCCACCAACTCTGCTCACCTCTGTGACAGCAGGAAGGGACGGTGGGACTCGGACCCAGGGACAGGAGAAAAGAGACGGAGCTACAAGCAAGGGAAGGATGTGACCTTGAGAGATGAACAAAGGGAGAAGGGAAGGGGGGCAGATGAAGTTGCACCCCCACAGAAATCCACCTCCAACCACCCACAGGCCAGCACCTCCTGAGGGATGCTTGTTACAACCAAGAAAAGCACCTTCTTAAAACCACCACACATGCTTTCTAGCCTTTATGGGTTACATAACGTGCCCCTCAAATCCACGTCCACTTGGGACCTCAGAAGGTGGCCACCGTGTTTGGAAACAGTCTCCGCAGGAGTAGTCAAGAGGATGCCCTTCTAGAGCAGGTGGTGCCTACATCCAAGGACTGGTCTGTGGTGGGAGGAGCCAGAGGTGCAGGCCCAGGGCAGGCCAAGTGAAGACAGAGGCTGTGAAGATGGGAGTGATGAAGCCACAGCCCAGGGGCACCTGCAAGGGACAGGAAGGGTCTTCCCCTAGCGCTCTGGAAGAAGTGTGGCCTTGGCGCTCGCGGAGTTCAGGCTCCGTCTCCAGATCTGCGAGACAGCAGTAGGCCATCCGGTTAGCCGTGCCCTAGCAGACCAATACAGCGCCTGGCTGAACGCCCAGACACACGCCTCCCACTGCGCGAGGACCTGAGACAGGGCCCCCAGCACCGGCGTCCGGGGACACCCCCCGCAGGGGCTGCTCTGGGCCTCAGATGCAGACACAAAGCAGCGGGGACTCCCGAGGACCTCAGCGACAAGGCCCCTCCGTCCCCACGGGCACCTTCACCAGCGGTGGAACTGGCGCGCGGAGCCAGGGGGCGCTCCAACTCTCGCACATTGCGGGCAAAAAGCGCGCGCGGCGCCCAGCGCAACCGGAAGAGCCCGCCTACGTACCTGTGGTGCCCCCGACCGGCCGGGGCCGGGCCACCGACGCCACCTCCTCTGCGTAGATGGCGCGCGCGGGGAAGGGCGCCTCGGCCTGCGGCTGCGCGGGCTCGGCGGGCTCCAGGTCCGAGGACGGCAGCAAAGCGGGGCCAAAGCTGGGCCTGCGGGCAAAGCACACCCCGCGTGAGCGTGGTCCGCCCCGGTGTTTGCCCGCAGGGCGTGGGAGGAGAACGCGGGCCGACTGCCCGGTTCCCCGGAGACCCCACGCGGGGCGCGGACTGCATCCCGGCACTAACAAAGGTGCCTGCACAGAGCCACGGGTGGTCGGCAAATCGCTGTTGGGTGATTGAGTGTATTTCCATGAAAGAAAACAAAGAATGCTTTACTTGCAGACTGACAGAAGGCCCGGCAAGTCCCAGGACCTGTTCATCTGGGCAGTTCTGTGTTGCCATGGACTCACGCCCACTCCTCGCCACATTATGCACAACGTGCTGACGGGTGGCCGGTTTGGGGCCATCTTCATGATCTTCACGGCTGCTGACGCGTCTGAGCCCACGGCCGCCGCCTCTTTGTCACTGACCTTGTACTTTACCAAGCATATCCCTCTCCAGGAACTGCCTCGGCAGTCACAGAATGTCTGAGTAGTATTATGAAAACAGCTTTGACCACATGGACCCCCTAAAAGGATCTCCAGGACTCTCCAGCGACCTGAGAACCCCACCTTGGGGACTGTTCTAAAAGAATTCAAGAGTTACAAAAGACTGTAGTCTATTACAACTCTTTGTACATCAAAGTCAACGCCCACGCACTTAGATGGATCCAACCAGTCTGATGAGAATGTAGTCTGAGGTGCTAGCATTATCTCTTCCATAGCCTTTCCGTATCTATTCTGATGCGTCTCTTTGTAAATCAAATACAGGTTGTTTTAATCCAATCTGACCACCTCTGTCTACTAACTGGACTAGCGCATTGTTTACACTGAATGTAATTACTCATCTGTCTGGATTTGATTCCCTACCATCTTATATTTGCTTCTCCCTCCCAACTAAATGTTCCTTTTCTCTCACTCTTTACATTCTTTTGGATTCTTTTTATTTTATTATTACGTTTTAATCAGCCAAGGCTTTATCGGGAAACTTACTGAGATCAGTGCCAAAACCTGAGGACAGACAACACATCGCCAGGAGTCCCCCATGCAGAGGTCTGCATGGTAACAAGGATCGGTGTTTGTGGACGTCCCATTAGTGCTAACACACAGTGAGAACAATGTGCCTACGTGCAGAGGGGCCGACAATGATTAATGGTGTTGCTTTGGTCCTAGTTAATAGGACTCAACGGATGTTACCAGGAAGTCAGGTGTTGGCTGTTTTTCCTGGTCACTGCTCAGGCAGGGACTCTGGCTCTTCCCCGGAATCCTTTGTGGGCAGGAGCCATCTTGGATGGCTCAGGGCCTCCCAGTGTCCGTTCATAGGAAGAGGAAAGGCCCAGGAATCAGGGAGAGACGGCTGCTGCTGCTCCTGCCCCAGAGATGTCTGCAAATTTCCTGACATCCAAGGATCTGGCATGAGGCTGAGGCTTCGTTTCTTTGATGTGGTCACAGTCCTTGAGAACCAGGGCCATGAAATAATTAATACGCCATGCGCTAAGGAGGTTTTCTTCAGTTTTCTTCAATATCTCATTCCCGTCTTTTTTCAAAAATTTTCTTATTGTGCTTCAGGTGAAAGTTTGCCGAGCACATTAGTTTCCAGTCAGTAGTTTGTACATAAAGTGCTTCTTCCATGACCCTGGTTGTGTCTCCCACAGGGCGCCAGGCCCCTCCCCATCTCTGCCCTGGGTCCTCCGTTTCCTTTCTCCTGGATAGTCGACCCCTTCCTGGCTTCTCATATTTGCTTTGGGCAAATGCTGTCCTTTGATCTCATATAATTGATTGTTCCAAGGATCACATTCCTCTCCAGTGTTACTACTGTTTATTTCACGGGCCAATTTTTTGGCTAAAGGGTGGTCTCCTGGAATGGCTTCAGTTCTAGGTCAGAGAAGTCTCAGGGCCAGAGTCTCAGGGGCTCCTCTCATCTGTTAGACCAGGCAGTCTGATCTTTCTCGCAAATTTGATTTTTTTCAGTTCTCCATTTTTCTCCTGCTTTGCCCAGGACCCTCTGTTGTGATCCCAGTCAGAGTGGTTGGTAGTAGTGGGTGGGCACCATCTAGTTCTTCTGGTCTCAGAGTCCTGTAGGCCCTTAGTTCATGTGGCCCTTAGTCCTGTGAAGTAACTGCTCCCTCGAGTTTTTGGTTTTCTTCACACTCCTTTGTTCCAGATGGGAAGAGACCAATAGTTGTATCATAGATACAAACTTATAAGACCCCGGATGCTACTCACCAAAGTGGAATGCAGAACGTTGGCTTTACAAACTACATTGTGCCAACTGACATAGTTGTCCACAAGTCTATGGTTCTTCACCTTCCAGCCTAGGACTTTCATCCTGTGAGGTGCTGGGTTACGTCTAAGAAGTGTCCATGACACACTCTTTGTGTACTCTGTAATAACCTACATGGCGTAGTGCCTAAGGCATTTGACTGCTAACCAGAAGGCTGACGGTTCAAACCCACCAGCCACTCCATTGAAGGAAGGCTGAGCAAGCTACTTCTGTAGCAATACTGCCTTGGAAACCCAAGAAGGGGTCACTATGAGTCGGGTTCAACTCAACAGAAGTTGAGTTTGGTTTTTTTCATCATTATTACTATATGTCTTTTATCTAGTTAGTAATTTTCCCTCCTTCCCCATCCCATCCCTGATAACCATCAAAGAATGTTCTCTTTTGTTCTGTGTGTAGAACTTTTCTTCTTGTTGTTATATGTATATATTATAGGGGTCTTGTACAGTATTTGTTCTTTTGTGATTGACTTATTTCATTCAGTAGAATGTCCTTCATACTCATCCATGTCGTGAGACATGTTGTGGACTCATCACTATTCTTTATCTTTGCACAGTATTCCATTGTGTATATGTACCAGTTTATTCATCCATCCATTGATGGGCACTCAGGTTGTTTCCATCTTTTAGCTATTGTGAAAAATGCCATGATGAACATGGGTGCGCGTATGTGTATCCATGTCACGGCTCTTATTTCTTTAAGGTATATACCTAGGAGTGGGATTGCTGGATCATATGGTATTTCTATTTGTAGCTTATAAAAAAAGCATCACAGCATTTTCCATAGCGGTTATGCCATTTTACATTCCCACCAGCCATGTACAAGAGTTCTAGTTCCTCTGTCTTCACCAACCATTGTTTTTTTTCAATTACTGCCATTAGTGCTGGGATGAGATGGTATCTTGTCGTTTTGATTTGCATCTCTACTGGCTAACGATCAGGAGCATTTCTTCAAGTGTTCGTTGGCTATTTGAATGTCTTCTTTTGTGAAGTGTCTGTTCATATCCTTTTCCCATTTTTCAATTGAATTGTTTGTCTTTTTGTTGTTGAGGTGTTGGAAGTATTCTATAAATTTTGGAAATTAGACCCTTGTTAGAGATATCTTAGCCAGATTTTTTCCCCAGTCTGTAGGTTCTCTTTACTCTTTTAGAAAAGTCTTTT